AATAGTTTTAACCGTGTGGAGTAATTTTCCCATTTATATGTGGATTGGACACCGTGTGGTATTTGGGTTGGTTGTATCTCAAGTATTAGAATTATATAATTTTAGAATAAATAAAAAAAATAATTAATGTCAAGAAAAATATTATGTTATCATACCGATACCGAAGTAATCAATATTTTGAAGTATCCAATCATGCTTAGATTATGTTAGTACACTTTGTAGAGCTCATCTTATACAGATATTATATTTCCTACCGTTTGAATAAAATAGAGTTAGTATCTCAGACGCTTATCTTTTACAAGAAAAAATAAATAAATAAAAAATTCCTGATTTTATTATGTTCCAATTCCTTTCCTTGATAATAACCGGTGAACCTTATATTTGAATGGAAAAAAAAAAAATAAAATAATAAATAATCTGATTTCATATTTTAAATGAATGTTCTAGTTTCTATTTTTCTTTTTGAAAGATTTATTTTTGGCAATAGATTCAAAAATAATATATTGAAATGTGTTCTTGCAAGCTTAAAGAATTCACAAAAAAAAAAAAAATCTATTATTTTTAATATATATTCGTTTTATGTTTTATTTATACATGTAGTAGATTTACATGATCTTATTAAGAGAATTTATTTTGTAGGGAATCTGCATGCACGACGGATGGGAACAACACATTGAGGCAAGATCGATGAGAGGATATCTACTTACCATCTTAAGGCTCGCAAGTTTGGAAAGAAGATCGCGCAAAAAAGAATGAACTTGGAGAAGACTCCACGCCTAAGGAGTATATATACCCTGCTTGAAGATCGAAGGAGGCTGCTGACATTATTATCTTTCACATACATTCGAACTTCAAGCTTTTTGAGTTTTTAGTTTTGATTGTTCAGTTTTCGGTGTTCTTATTCCATCAAAGAACTGAAGTCCTTCGTTCCATTTTCTTTTGTTTTATTAAGACACTTTTGTGATTACTACTTAAGGATTAAGTACAGTTAAGTCCACGGGACGTGGCTAGTAGTTAGTAGATTCGAGTATAGTTGTTGGTTAGGCTAGAAGGGAATTCTAGTGGTTATAATTCCAAGACTTACGAGAGTGCGCAATCGAGTTATCAATGAAATAGCTCCTCCGAGGGGTAGTGAGACGCTCCCCGAAGAGTTTTTATATTTTGTTGTGCTTTGGCTATTTTCAATTTTTCTGGTGTTACAACATAGTTCGTGTTCTAATACTAGTTAGCCCCATATATTTTCATCTTTGATAATTGACACTTAATTGTGATCATATATATATTTAATTCGAGTAATACATACACATGAATTGAAACGTGATATTTGAATAATTACATATATTTAATTCGAGTAAATACATACTCATGAATTGAAAATGATATTTGAATGAAAATAATTGAGTACTCGTCATCAGATAAATATATATAATAGAATTCAAGTAAATTCATACACATAATCTGTATCTTTCTCTTCCCGTTGATCTCTGATATACGGTATCTCTTCTCGCTGATATATCACTTGATTGTTGATTTTAGGGTATATGATTTTAGGGTATATGGCTTGACGTAGTTTATGTAGTTATCGCATTTTTAGGGTATAAGGCTCGATTGTTGATTTTAGTGAAAGGGGTTGAGTAGTGATTAGATTATACTCGGTTTATTGGTATAAATAAGTGCTATACTCTGGGATAGATGCACCGCCATACTTATTCTCGTTACTTCACTAAACATACCAATAATTTTTAGATGACACTGTTTGAATACTTACCCCTACCTTAAAAATAGTAACTATCACAAACTTTTTTCTAGATGACACTGTTATTTATTACACACCCAATATTTACCCCTACCTTCAACATAATAACTATCACAATTTTTTTTCTAGATGACACTGTTATTTATTGCACACCCAATACTTACCCCTACCTTAAACTGAGTGTTATTCTCACTACTAATTATACCTTCCATGTTAAGTGTAAAGTTCTGCAAACTATTCCACGTGTCATTTGATGAAAGTTCTAAATTTTATATATGGTCCCCACAATGAAGTTATAAATTTTCTATATCATCCCTACAATGTAAACTATGTGAAAGTTCTAAATTTTCTCTACAATCCCTACAGTCTAAAGAATGTGTTAGAACAATGTCCATTTCACCATAGACCATTCCGAATAGCTCTATGCTCGTCCTAACACCAAGTATGATCTGTATAGCTCCATACTAGCCTCGTCAATGTCATACACGGTCTCTAATGGTCGGGTGACATTGGCGTATAGGTTATAAAAAGTGTCAAAACAAAAATTATCAGGATCTTTTGATAGCTGCATAAAATTAGTTTCACTAATCCTCATTAGTCAAATTAAGTTTCCCAATTAGGATACTGAATGTAGTCACTCTAAACATAGAAGACCACTGCAATAATAATGAACAGAAAATGTTTCGACGCTTATCATTTTTTATAAAAAATGGAAAGCAAGAAACAGTTGGGAAAAAAAAAATGCATCGCAGTTAGCACTAATAGTATTCATCAGAAATTTAGATGTTACCTCTTCAAATCCAAGCAAAGATGTGATAGCAGACGTCTGATAAAGTATAAATAGGATATCATCTGAAACAATATTTCTCCTTTCCTGGAAAATAAACATGTGAAAATAAACAATATGTACTATGGTTTGAACATGAGATCTATTGTTATAAGAGAAACAAAAAATTACTTCAATTCGCATCAACCGAACTCCATCCCATTTCCTTTATTAACTGGTTTTGTCTTAGATTTTCTCTTATTCGTGCAGAATGCTTCCACATGCCACGTGCCGAATATATATTCGACTGAAGAACACGCATCCCGACATGACAACTTCGATACCCCAAAATTCTTTTCTCAATCAAATCGATTAATTCGTAATCTCCATGAACACTACACGCGTGAAGCAATGCTTCCCATGCATTTGCCCCAATATCCAACGGCAGCCGATTAATCAATTCAAATGCTTCACCAAGAAAACCCGATCTGCCAAGGAGGTCAACAATGCACGAGCCATGTTTGGGTCTCGGAGTCAATTTATAAGCCCCCATCAGCTCAAAATATTCCAAACCTTCAGTCACGAGCCCAGAATGAGCACACGCAGATAACAGCACTAAGAAAGTGACATGATCGGGTACACATCCGGAATCTATCATGCTACGAAAAAGACCAAACGCCTGTTTGGCAAAAGCGTGACGTGATGTTGCCAATATCATGGCATTCCACAATGCTGTATCGCGATTTTGCATCTTCTCAAACACCAAAGTGGCATCTTTCATAAACCCACATCTCGAGTACATGGATATCAACGAGCTCGCCACCAAGTTATCATTTTCATGCCCAATCTTGACAGAAAAAATGTGCATTGCTTTTCCCCAGCTCAGTTTAGCAAGAACGCCACTAACAGATATAACGGCAGTTAATGTGCCCTGATCTGGCGCAAACCCATTGGACAGCATCCGCATGTACAGAACCAAAGCCTCCTCAGTTTTGTACCCATAAATCAAAATGTTCCACGAGGTCACGTCGTGTTTTGACATTTGTTCAAACAATTCACGGGCAGCTTTAATATCACCAAGCTGTACGTAACCCCACAGCATGAGATTCCAAGACACCACATTCCTATCCGGCATTTTCATAAACAAATCAAAAGCTTCGTCTAATTTCTCACTTCGGATGAAACCCGTGAGCATTGCATTCCATGCAACAACATCCTTGTGGGGCATTCTCTCAAACAATTCCCGAGCAGTTTCAATCCTGTTATGATCCAAGTAACCCTTGATTATCACGGTCCAAGCAATCGCATCCCTCACGGGCATGGACTCGAACAGGCTCCGAGCTTTTTCCACCTCACCAACTCTCAAAAACCCCTTCATCACGCAAGTCCAAGATACTACATCACGTTCGGGCATTTTCGTAAACAGCTCATACGATTTGTCCACGTATCCCATCTCAACATACCCGGCCAGCATAGCATTACAAAGCAACAAGCTTTTACCCGAAGCAAGTCTAAACAAGCTCTCAGCTTTTTCCACGGCCCCACAACGAAAATACCCTTCAACCATCGTTGCCCAAGAAACATCATTCTTCACGGGCATTTCATCAAACAGCTGCTGGCCTTCCTCAATTTTTCCGCAGCTCAAGTACCCTGAAATCATGGAGTTCCAGCTGGCGACGTTCTTTTTCTCGATTGAGTCGAACAAAAGCCTAGCCTCTGCCAAATTCCCATTCTTGGCATACCCGCTCAGCATGGCGGTCCATGAGACCACGTTTTTTACCGGCATCGAGTCAAAAATCCGGCGGGCCTCGCTGACCTTGCCGTTCTTGATGTAGCCCGAGATCATGCAGTTCCAGGTGACCACATTCTTGTGGGGCATTTGTTCGAACACCTGGCGCGCGCGCTCGACGTCGCATTTTTTGAAGTAGCTCGTGATTTTTGAGTTCAGGTGGTATATGGAGTTTGGTTCGATCTTCAGAGAACGAAGTAGCAACAAAGAGTGGTAATTCTTGCGGATGAAGGGCCCGGATTTGAATTTGGCCAACATATGTGTGGAAAAGGATTACTGATCATTACCTTTCATTATCTTTTGTAACCACCATCTCTAAGCTAGCGGTGTGCTTGTTTGTCTATGTGACTATGTCTTGAGAGCTCGTAAATATGCTGTTTTGGTTTAAAAATGTTTGAAATGGGATGCAATTTCTGGGTTTCATTCAAGTATACACCATTTTTTAAATAGCAATATAAACAAAAGTATGACATGTCGACCCGCCTAATGAGTAATGGTTAAGATGTCACACATAACACTAATGTGTTTAAGAAAAATGTTGGGGGAAAGCTAATCTGGATGATGTAAATGCATTAATCAACAAACAAAGGCAAAGCATATATTCAAAGCACATAATCCCATTATCAATTCATAAAACATCCTCTCCACACAGTAATAAAAATCCATTCAAACTGCTATTCTATTACTACTCACTCCTTGCTACAATCAGTCTGTTTAAAAGACACCATCTTCCTCCTCAAATCATACCCTACCAAGAAATTAACCTGCGCCCAGTTTCCAAAAATGGCAACCCCCTTGTGCGGCACAAAACCGAGACAATGCACATACTGCGAGACCTTAATAAACGTGTTCACGGGGTACAACCTAACGGTAGCACCCACAAAATGCACCGTAACAATTGGCGCTCTCATTTTGCCATCGACCGTTTTATAGCACAGCCTCAGCGTATCCTTCGGTTGAACGAGCTCGAACTTGATTTCCTTCTTCATGGCAGCTTCTAATGGGTCGTAAATTTTCCTCGGGAGATGAGTCAGCACAGTTCCTGGGTCGATGATGATTCTTTCGCTGAAAAGGCCCTTCGAATAAGCCAGTTTGTTTTTACCAATGCTTATACCTTTAAATTTCAATGCATAAGAATTTCGGAAAATTTGGAGGCCTGTGGACACAACATCGGCACCGGAAACTAATGCTTTCGAACCGAAATGCATTTTGCTCGACTTTAAGACTCTTTGGCCTTGATAAAGTAAACAGTAGGAAAATTTGCCGCCAATAACAGAATTCATTTGGGTGATAAAGGAAGCAGGCCCGCTTCCCAAGCTTATCACGCCAGTAGCTTCCGGTTTAAACTCGCCTACATTTTCATAACCGCATCCGAAAATGAAATTACGAAGAAGGACAGGTGAGCTGGATCCGGAGTTTGTCCTGAGTGTGTCGGTTGAGATAGTTCCATGAGAGTAAGAGCCGTGTAAATAATTCACGGAATATCGACACGTGTTGTCTTCTAAAATAGAAGGCCTGCCTCCGAGAGATTTGCAGAGGTTTGAAGAACCTGAAAAACCACGCATCGTATATTGTAGGGTCTTAGAATAATTCGACAAACATAGTTGCTTCGATACAAATTTTTTCAAAAGAATCCAATCATTTTTTACTAATCACTTTTTTTAACTCAACTGCTCAACACCACTATCCTCAATATTATCAATATAATTAAATAATAGCACTCTATTATTCTTACACATCACATCAACTTTAATTCATCCACTCACATAATTTTAACTAACCATCACTTCTCATCATCTCAACTTTAATTATTTTATTTTAAATATTATTTAATATAAAATAAAAATCCCCCTAACAACTAATCATACCACATTTTTCCAAACTAACCATACCAAACCAGAAAATTCAAACAAAATCAATCAATCTTATATCCAAGATCCATTGTAGAGATAATATAGTTTTGCAGGAAGATTCTTAAAAACAAAAACAAAAGAAGCCTTTATTTTTTCTTCATCTAATAGAACTATATAAAATTGAAATGTCGATTGAGGTAAAATTTTCCAGAATAAATAGATTATCTATGTTGTTGTACCTGGAACCGACTTGTAAGTCGAAGACGATTTTGGAATAAAGAGAGGCAGTATTTGGCTAAAGGAATGATCAGATGGGCCACACTGTGTCCAAGAAAAAGCACTAGATGCATCAATAACACCTCTAATCTCGACAGGTGGCTCTCCAAGTGAAAGCTTCATCAGAAAATCTCCATCTGAGGCCAACATATCGGCTTCTGGCACAGGTGAGATAAATGACCTGAAAGCCAGACGATCAGCACGATTTTTGGACCGTTGGATTGCTCGATTCACAAGGTTCCAGCAAATGGATGTGGAATTTTTCTGTTGAGAAATCGAGTCTATGTGGATAAGGTCCACACTGAAACCATCATTGCTTAGTTCTTCTGCAAAGGAACCATGTGAACCGCCATTGAATGTGTTGTGCAGCAGTGTTGGCTTTATAAGGGGCAAACTAAATAACTACACGAGGGCAGGCTCTTTAACTATATTATGTAAATTGGATATAGCTTCATTTATTGCAAAAGGACCTTCGAAAAGGTCTCCAACAGATTAAGGCAGAATTCAATCAAATTTCCAGTACAACAATATGGGCAAAAAGATGGCTCGAAAAGTTATGAAAAGAATAATCTTGAATTAAAAACAAGCAAACTCCATTAGAAATGAAGATCAGGTTCGCCGATCTCATGCTGACATGTAGTTATAAAGATGTCTTCTCTCCCTTTTCACGAGCAACAGATGCACAAAGAAAGTAAGTGCAGTTTCACACTCAAAAATTATTCTCATGACTGAAGATGGCTCGCCGGCTACCGTTTCAGAGGATCCAATTAACTTTATTCTAATTCGATCCTTTAGCCAATATTTCATAAGGAATGTAAATTTGAGAATAAAGAAAGCATTTACACTCAATTTGTAAGTTAAAACCATTAAGGAGCAAAGTCAGTTCCAAAATCAGTCACTGCCTCCAGAAACAATATAATTTCTACAGACTTTCTTGAATAAAATTTCAATATATTCATTTTGAGCATAACGAATGATTGTTTATTATGTTTATTTACATGAGACATACCACTTATGTGTATCTTAAAATTGCGAACATGTTAATGTTTCACATATTTTCTATTAATCAATAAAATAATATCCAGTCTTCTCAGGGATATAATTCCATACAACAAATATCTACAAATTTCATAATATGCATAAGTATGCAACTAATCCGGATCATTCTCTTTTTTCAAGAAGAACATGACAAATATATACAACCCAAAAATGCTGGATCAAAAATGATTTTGGGCTGGAAAACCCACAATCAAGAAAGATTAAATAAAACCAAACCTTGGTGTAGATTGTATTAAAAAGATCTTGCAGTTTCAAGAAAAGATTCCAGATGTGCTTGCAATAACGCTTCGACTTCCATGTAATCTTCATCTGGATTGTATGGATGCTACAGAAGGTAATACCACAATAAGTAAACACAAGTGATCATAATGCATAAAAAATAAGATAAAGCTGATACCATAATCAGATGAAATTTTCATTTTATAAGGCAATTTATATAAAGTTCAACTAGAACCTTAGATGCTAGATCATCAACCATCTCTTGTAGATTTTGAAGCCTCTTTGACTGATCAGGGAGTTTCTTTTCCAAATCCGATATACCTGGACTACAGTAAACTTTTATTAAGGGGACAGAAAGTCACTATCTATGCTCAAAAGGTATGGTAGCAAGATATTATATGCAACTTTTAAAGCTTATGAAGTATTCTCAATTGAATTCTACAAGCAAGTCTCACCAATTATGCTATCACCAACCAACTCGGTGCAAAATGTAACAAAAGCCAAATAAGCATATTTATAAATTTTCTGAAAAACAATATCCTTCAAACTCACAAAGATCGGTGTATCAAAAATAAAGTTTGCAAGTTTCGTAAGTTCTGTGTTTCTCCGTTTGCCACTCAACTACTTTGTTTAAGATTTAAAGAGAGAACAATCATAAGATAACAGTATGGGAAGTATTTGTTCTAACAAAAAACAACTAAACATCAAGCAACACGTCTTGCAAGAATAAATGCCACATAAAGCAAGCAGGGCATGATCAGTCAAAAATTGAATCCCACAAATGCTTTAATATTGGTTGAACACTTTCCTTGCAGATCTATATTAGAGATGAAAGAACAGTCTCCATAAGGAAGGTGCTAGTTCTCAGTATCAACAAATATCCGACGGCCAAATAACAGATAATTATCCGACGGGCCCAAACCCAAACAACACATTTTATATACTCACTTGGATGGCTTCAGTGTCTATTGCAGCTGTAATACCAAGAAACTTAGCAATCTCAGCTAAATCTGTTCACCAATCGCAAATATTACTCAAAAGAGCATGATAAACAACACAAGTGATTACAAAGTGGTTCGAAAAGAGACAGCTACATTGTATCCTCGAAGTCTCTTCGTCCCTATCCACTACATCCCCTTGCAGATTCTGCTGTGAAAATGGGAACTTATCACCCAATAATCTGCAAATTCGGACAGACACCTATTACAGATATCGATTAGCGAAAAAATCGCCTCCCAGAAAAATTCAAGCAAAGGATCACGAAATGCACAATTTAGATAATTTGCTGCCGAACCTGAAGAAGAGCCACTCGAGAAGTGCGTATCGCTCCATGCCCGCAAAAAGGAGCGACTGAGCAGAGGCATTGGCTCTTGGATAATTCAACGTCGCCAGCTTCTTCTGGACCCCTTCCATTTGCTTTGACGCCATTGTTTACTCCCAAAGCTGAAATCTTTTTGGGGAAGATGACGAGGAGTGTAAGGAAGAGAGTGCAGGGATTATGAAATTTTACTTTTTAATACGAGTTTTATATGTAATAAAGTTTCTAATAAAAGATTATAAATTACCATTGTATAATTTTTTATTTTGAAAAATATTATTTCTTAGGAATTTCTCATAGAATATTCGAATAAAAACACAAAGTTTGTACAATCAATATATACATAAGCACATGCATCACCCGAATGAAAACTAAAATAACTGAGGGTTGAAAACAACCAGAGAGAACCGTACAGACAAATCAGTACGGCCTAGATAACATAAGCATAAGAACCAAATATTGCTAGAGACAGTCGACTAGACACTGATCCCTCCAGCAGAAACAAATCATAAAACGACCAGACAAACAATAAAGAAAAGGCGTTGCACAAACCTAGTCACTGCACTGCAAAGCAGACCTAGCTAACTTTGGACGTGATCTTTCATGAACTTGACAGCCATATGCGTATATTCTATCCAATCGCTCGTTGCTGCTCTAACTACATTCCGTTCAGGTCTCTGTATGTCTTCAAATTTCTACAAGTTACGCGACTTCCAAAGCCACCATAAACTATAATTCGCCAACTGTATCTTGGCTTTCGAAGTCTCCCACTTGTCAACTGAGCAAATGAAATCCCACCAATCCCTGAACCTGCACTCCTCGCTATCTATGTCATCCCAACTGAATGGGGCCTGTTTCCAGACTGTTCGCGCTCTTCTACACTTGAAAAAAACACGTTCCACCGTTTCTGCTTCCTCCCCGCAACTACTGCACATCACATCAACTAGCATACCACGCTTTTTGAGATTCACATTCAGTGGCAGTATCCCATTAAAGCACTTCCACAAATGCTTTATTTTACCTTGAACTCGCAACTTCCAGGTTATCATTAGTTAAAACAGACCAAACTTGATTAATGAATCAATTTTTTGCAAACATGTTTATTCAATTATTATTTATACGAGTCGACCTAATTACCCATTCCAACGAATTTGTATTAATCATCATTTTTTATAATATTTATTTAATTATATTTACGTGAGTCGGCCTAATTAATTGTTTGTTTATTTTAGTTGACTGAGAGGTATCTCCACATTCACTCAACGGCTTCACCAGGATCCCCACGCAAAGGGATGGGATTAATCCTCCCAGAAAGTGCAATGTCTCACTCACACTCTTCACGATAGTCTTGATCAATTATATAATTTCTAGCTTCAAAGGAAATTTCACCCTCCACCAATCACCATTTGACCTCCAGCCCAAGAAGCCGACCTAATTAAATGTTAGACAGCTCACTAAACGATTTGCAATAAAAAATAGATTCAATATAAAACAAATAAACAAGGGCAATGCTATATGTACACCCCCTTTAATAAATTACACAAAGGGCAATGCTATATGTACACCCCTTTTTTACACACAAGGAAGTGTACATATAGACTCCCCCATAAACAAATAAAGCATCAATGATGCAAGTCAAACTATACTAGGCCCCAACTTTTGTGATACTAAATAAATAATTATTATTTGCATTTAAATTAGTTTTAATTATTTTTATTCGATTTGATTCCTTTAAAGTGAACACTAGGGAATTTTTTACGGAAAAAAAATTAAATGGTGGACAAAAAAAAAAAGAAAAAAGGTGGAAAGAAATAGAAAGCCCGTATTCCGTGAATACGGTTTTAAAAAATTTATTTGGAAAACGTATTCTGTGAATACGTTTTTCTTTATAAAAAAATGTGAAAAATGTATTCAGTGAATACGTTTTTTAATTAAATTATACAGAAAACAAAACGTATTTTGTAAATACGTTCTTTCTATGTTGGTTCACTCTCCTTTTTATTTGTTTTTGTCCACTTATTATTTTTTTATTAATAAATATATAAATCACCCGAACACTAGGCCCACACCTGAATATGTACAACGCCACCTTTCACTATTTTCATCGAGACACATATGACTATTAATAATAAAAAAAATATATATTGGATTGCAACAAAATAAATTAATGACCAAATTATACTCTATTGGGAAATTTTTTCTGAAGACTAAAAATAGTGAAAGTGGTTGGTAAATTGGTAGGTGAACCCATTCTGCATTTTGTGCCGTTTTTTAATACCTGCAAAAGCTTGAGGAGGAGCAAATACCTTTCGAAACTCAAAAAAGATGCTATCTTTGAACCTCCGGCCGCCGGCAAATGCCGCTCTCCCCAATCCCAGACCTAAACACGCCATTAACGCTTCACTTTTCGATCCAAAGCTCGTGAAGGCGACCGCTTTCAGAAACCCCACTTCAGATTTCAACCGGAGCCCGAGACTCGGGCTCTGTTCAGGCCACCCCATTCGCCAGATCCACAAATCCGGACCCGAATTCGGGAAATCCTTCACCGGCCCACGTGGGCTGCTATCCCGATTATCGCCTCAGATCCCTCAATCGGCATCGGGATCCCCGCCGGAATCCAGTCCGGACGGCGGCGAGATCGAATCTCCCAAGCCGAGCAAGACGCTGAAGCTCGCCGTCGTTTTCGGCCTATGGTATTTCCAGAACATAGTTTTCAATATCTACAATAAAAAAGCCCTGAACGTGTTCCCATACCCTTGGTTCCTCGCTTCCTTTCAATTGTTTTGCGGGTCGATTTGGATGTTCATTCTCTGGTCCCTTAAGCTCCAGCCCGTCCCAAAGATCAACAAGCCGTTTATAGTCGCGCTTCTCGGCCCAGCGCTTTTCCACACCATCGGCCACATCTCAGCTTGCGTCTCCTTCTCCAAAGTCGCTGTTTCATTCACCCACGTCATCAAATCCGCCGAGCCCGTCTTCTCAGTCGTCTTCTCGGCTTTTCTTGGCGACTCGTATCCTCTCAAGGTCTGGCTCTCGATCCTCCCCATCGTTTTCGGTTGCTCTTTAGCTGCTGTAACTGAAGTCTCCTTCAATTTCGGTGGTCTGTGGGGTGCTATGATAAGCAATGTGGGATTCGTGCTCCGTAACATCTACTCGAAAAGGAGCCTGCAGAGCTTTAAGGAAGTAAACGGGCTGAATTTGTACGGCGTGATTAGTATAATCTCGTTGTTGTACCTTTTCCCCGTGGCCATTTTTGTCGAGGGCTCTCAGTGGGTCGCAGGGTACCACAAGGCAATAGCTACCATTGGAAAGCCCTCGACTTTCTATCTGTGGGTGATGTTATCGGGCATATTCTATCATCTGTACAATCAGTCGTCTTATGAAGCGCTTGACGATATTAGCCCGCTTACTTTTTCGGTTGGGAACACGATGAAGAGGGTTGTTGTTATTGTGGCGACTGTTTTGGTGTTTAGAAATCCTGTTAGGCCGTTGAATGCGCTTGGTTCGGCTATCGCGATTTTCGGGACCTTTTTGTACTCTCAGGCCACGGCTAAGAAGCCTAAGGTCGAGGGAGCTGAGAAGAAGGATTAGAATTGTGATGATTTTGAAATTCTGTGTTTTGTTTCTTTGTAACTTTTTTTTCTTTTCTTGTTTTTTTCACTAGAAATGGAACTATCCTTTTGTTTTGATTAATTGAGACTATGGTGGCTTTTGTTTGCTTGTTGGGCTGTTGCTTGTTATGGACTCAATGCAGCAATTCGGAAAGTTGATGTTATGATTTCATACATTACGCTGCTAAGATATGCAAAGGGTTTGGAGATCATGTTTAGACTATGTCGATTATCAACTTAAATGTGCTGAAAATGCTAGGTACTTGGTGTGTTATTTCTGCCTCTAATGTGTGTTGAAAGAGTCATTTTTGGCATAATCCATTGCGGAATTATATACAGTTGCAGCTTACATTATTCTCTGTTTCAATCTTTTGAGTCTGAATTTTTTGCTTCCTTTGGTTTGGTATATGCCTGATGAGTATATAATTAGTTAATTATTTTTTCCTTCCAAGCTTGAATGAAATTAGTGTGTCGATGATAAGATGTGGTTAAAGTCCACGATCATAGGATAGGATTTCTTCGTGTGGTATGGTGACTTAGAAGTTAGAACATATAGTTTGTATTCTTGTGGACAAATTGATAGTTTTCGCTTTCTTATACTTTCATCATTTTCTTCTGATGATAAATGAAGTGTTAGCGGCATCACTGGTTTAAGGTAGGGCTGCAAACGAGCCGAGCCGAGTCGAGCATTGGCCTTATCGAGTGGATTGAATTTTTTTTTTTTTTTGAGGTGCTCGAGCTCGAGCTCGAGCTCGACTCGATCAAAACATACAAGAGCTCGACTCGAGCTCGACTCGAATTCATAATGCTCAAGCTCGGCTCGAGTTCGGCTCGAATTTTTTCAAGAAAGTTTGTAAAATAACCATTAATTACATATATATACAAGGGTATTTTAGTAATTTCACATATATCGATCCGCTCGCGAGCTGCTCGACAATGCAATATATGGGCTCGAGCTCGACTCGAGTTCGTGCTCGAGCCGCTCGAACTCGACTCGAGATCAGTCAAACTCGAGCTCGAGTCGAGTTTTGACTCGAGCGCTCGCGAGCGGCTCGCGAGCTGCTCGACTCATTTGCAGCCCTAGTTTAAGGTACAAATTTTGATGTTCTAAAACCTTTGAGAAGTTCAAGTGTGGTGTAGCTTTTGCATAGCTCACCTCATCTTGTTTTCTGCCATTTATTTGTTGTTGTGGGCCTCTTTGTTTACTGTGTGTTTCTTTGTATCTGATATGTCTATGTGGATTTGAATCTGAATTCGGTTTTTCGGTTAACTACAGATTCATTGTCTGCTGAGCATGGTGAAAATCAGTATTTTTGCTCAAATAGATGAAGATGGAGGGGAGGAGTTGATGTTGCTTGAAATTTTGATTTGATTTAATTTTTCCGAAGCAGAATTTTTTTTTTATTTTTTTTTTTAATTTATCTTCTTTGGTATCTCAATTAGATTATTTTTTCAACATATAATGGATGGTGAGTGAATGATTGGCTATAGGCGAGTCGGTGCTGCCATGTATGAGGTACGTCTGATTCATTGGACCCCTCCCGAACCGGGCTGGATTAATGTGAACACTGATGGAACATATGATGGCACTATGGGACTAAGCGGAACTGGCGGATTACTTCGAGACGAGCTCGGGAGATGGATTGAGGGCTTCCTCATGAATATTGGTTTTAACACCATAACGAACGCCGAACTTTGGGGGCTTTTTCAGAGAATACAGAGGGCATAGGAGCTAGGGTTTCGACAAGTAATCGCAGAGATTGATAGCCAATGTGTGGTTCAAATGGTCAATGGATCCGGTCAGCATCTTGGAGACCCCAATGCTATAGTTCGACCTAATAGGGAATTGGTTCAAAGGGATTGGCATATTCAAATCCAACATGTGCATCGAGAGGTCAATTATGCGGCGGATCATATGACGAGGGTCGCTTCCTCGTCTCCATTAGGCTTGCGAAGATTTTCGACTCACCCCCCGAGTCTCAGAGCTTGGCTCGATCATGATGTTCGCGGAGTATCTCATCCACGTCGAATTTAAGTTTAGAGTATTTAGGCCGCTAGCCTCCTTTATGTGTACCCAAAAAAAAAAAAAAACATTTTGTAAATTTTCTTATAAATAAACTTGTTGTAATTTTTGCTCCAAGTTTTTTATATAAGCCAACATGTCATGCATTTTATCATAATATTGATTTTTTTTTTTTTTTTTTTTTAATACTGGCTACGATTAATTTTGAAACGAGTAATTTTGAAGTCAAGATAGACAATGTAGTGGGAAAATCAATTTACGACTTTATTAGTATTAAGTACCCTTTAAACACAATTTTTAAACCGCTTTCAACCCGCTAATGTGATTATCTTCCATAATTAAACCTTTTCCTATACTAAACTGAAACTAATTACGGAAAAAAAAGTGGGGGCATGCCAAACAACACTTTACCTTTTACCCCACAAAAACAAATCAAGATTTCTACCTGGGTCTTCCCTGTTTACCGGCGAGAGGACACAGGCAAAACCCCGAAAGTAACAGCGGTAAATATGTCGGGTCTTTCCAAACACGGCGCTCCAGCCGTCGCTGTGAAAAAGGAGGTACGTCGAACACTGTTCATAACCCTTTATTTAAAAAAAAAAAATTACAAAAAACATAGTTTGGAAAAATATTTTCTTGGATTTTGATGCAGCAGATGAATCTTTGCTTGCTTTAGAGTAACGGGTCGAGAATTCGAGATGAGAATTGTAATAAAGCCATGTTCTTTTTTGTTTTTCCCTCTTTCTTGTGTGTGTGTGTGTGTGTGTGTGTGTGAGTTCATGAATAAGATTGTTTGAGCTGAGTTCTTGAAGCATAATATGTTAAAATACGAGGGCCCTGATGATTGTGGTGCCCTAATTGAGCTGTAATTGTATAATGATTGCCCAGCGTTGTTTTATGAAGATGAATCTACATAAGTGGGCATAAAAAAGTGTTCTTGAGTTGATTTGTGGACAATACCAGACAAATTGTATTTGTTTTTGCTGTAATTGGAACTCGAATAATAACAATAATAAGTTGATCTTGTTCGACTTCGACTTAAACTCGTGAGCAGGACAATGCAACTGATTAAATAGTCCTAAGATTACAGGTGAAATTCTTAGTTCTAGTGTAAATGTTTGTATGTTTGAACCCAAATATGATGTAAAATATGTAAACTAATTGTGTTTTGATCAATTTTGTAATTTTGTGGTTTTGCAGGCCTGCAAGTGGACAGAGAATGAAGCAACTCCAGATGCTGAACTTCATAAGAGTTGCGAGGCAGCTCAAGCCGAAGAGGACGAGATTCATTATCTTCCCAAAGATGCGCAATTTTTTGATGTTGTCTTGGTAAAATCACATATCGGTCCTGCCTATGCAATGGTGATTACTTACACTATTTTCTACAACTTTTTTGGGTTTGTTGTTTTGTCCCATCTATTTACATTTTTAGTGTTTATCTAGGCATGAAAACTGCTAATGGCTGCAAGAATGTTTAAACTTCGTGATGGAGATTAATGAGTGTTATGATTGTGGTGCTTTTAGATCCGCAACAGTTTATTGTATTTTCTTGGACCACCGATATACCTGTCTGAAAAATTTTCTTGGATGTTACTCTCAGTATCATAACTTTCATCCTCTGGAGATAATTAGTTTTATATTGTGGTGAATATTACTTATTAATGAATTTTCATAGCAAACTACGCATTTGTGTCTAAAGTACTTGCCTTTGGCGATAACCTCTCTCGTTCTGATAATGACATCACATGAGCTACATGGCTTCTCATTACTTTGTGAAACTCATATAAAGCATCCTACAATTTATCAATTTAAAATGCATTCACTGGAGAACTCATTAAGTTAAAATACTTTTTTTTTTTTTAATGGCTGTGCCGTTTTTTATGTGACAGGGGCTTCCTGTTAGTGCCGCGTCAATGGTTCCTAGTGTGGCGACACATTTCATTCTTCGGCATCGTGGCAAGGACTGGAAAGTCCATTTCCCTAGAGATTCACGTTCTCGGCCGAGGTTCGGTACTGGGTGGAAAAATTTCGTGATTGACAATTGTTTGAAAGAGAATGATGCCTGTGTTTTTGAGCTGATAGATTCGAACCCTCGAGAGCCCAAGTTCAAGGTGCATATCCTCAGGTTCAATTTACCTCCCGAGCTCAAGGAGTTGGATGATGCCCGTGGTAAGACAAAGGATTCGCCTATAGTTGTTCTTGATTAGATTCCGGGTTTTATGGGGTATTTGATATGGTCTGTTGTTTTGTGTCATATTTTGGTACTTGATTAAGGATGTTTTGATTGCTATATTTGGTGTTACCAGGTGTGATTTCCTTTGGTGATGTGAATTTTATTAATATTGTTTGTTCTTTATTTATTAGCAGGAGTAGCTGTGTAGTGCTGAAAATTGTACTACCTTTGTCTGAAAACTTCTCAATGGAGACAGAAAAAAAAAAGAAGGAAAATGAAAGCAGTGAATTAACCTGATTTCAGTAGATTATTAAAACAAATCAGGGAATATAACAAAAAAATGATCATCTATTGAATGACAAAGCCATTGCAGGCCATAACCAAAGAGTCTCATGTAGACATGGCCACGGGCGGCCCGTGGCCCGACCCGTGACCCGGTACCGGTACCGGTACCGGCATGAATAGTGCCGGGTTCGAGAACCGGACCGCAGCCAATCCGGTCCGGTTAAGGGTCACAGTTCTTTTTTTTTGTCGGGCCGGGCCGGGCCAATTTTTTTGCTTTTTTTAAGGGCCGTACTGGCCCGTGAACCGCCGGGCCGGTTCTATGAACCGGCCCTTCGTTCCTAGCGGGCCGGTCGCGGTTCGGCTGTTTGAAGGCCCGTGGCCCGGCGGGCCGGGGCGGGCCGGGCCCGGACCCGGCACCTAGCCACGTCTAGTCTCATGAAATGAAAGCAGCAAAAACATAACATAACATGTCTGGAAAAACAAACAATCAAAGCACCCGAACACCACCCAAATGCCTTGAACACATCAGAGGCCATCGAAGTATAGTTGAGCTTAGTGTTGTTAAATTAAAAGAGCATGGCTCGGCTTGGCTCGTTAGGTTCGAGTTCGGCTCTAGTTAGAGCCCTTAACGAGCTGAACTCGAGCTTATTTGAAGCTCATTTGGTTAACGAGCCGAGTTCAGCTCGGCTCGATAAGAATCGAAAAGAGATTTTTTTCCTTTTCATAACTTTCTATAGTTTGATTCTTTAAAGCTCAAGATAGGCTCTTTAACGCTCTAACTCGGTTCGTTAATAGTGATAAATGAGCCTAGCACAAACTCGATTTCTAGCTTGTTTATTTAACGAGCCGAGCTCGACTAGGCTCATACCGACTCGAGCTCGAGCTTGACTCGGCTCGTTTACAGGCCTATAATGAGTTGCACCCGACTTGATTAGGCCAGTCGAGTGTGACGAGAAATCCAGGCTAGTCAAGCTTGAGGGCAAATTATCAGAACGCCACAACTAAGGAGCGGCCTCACCAAAACGCCTTTAGTAAGGGAGTGCATCACCAGAAGGCCACTGCTAATGCGTGTAGCCATCTTCTTACAGCAGCATCCATATATTTTACTATTTTCATTTGTTTTTAAGTCAAAACATGCATAGAAACTGACCCTTTTGCCCCTGAACCATTTTTACCTCTACAGACACCTAAAATCAGAGAAAATAATTAATGAACTTACAGTAGAGATGTTTTTAGAGAGAGAGAGAGAATCAAGTGGTAAAAAGTCAGCAGTGTTTCAGTCAATCAGAGGGGTACAAAGACAGTATTACCCCCTCTCAATGCACTATTGTTTACAGTGAATTTTCTGAGGGCAATTCGGTAAAAAAAAGTAAAAAAAAAAAAAAAAAAAAAGAACCTGTTGTTTCATGGCTCAAAAAATACAAAATTTTCATTTCTAAAATTCCAAAAATCCGAAAAATATGAATCATTAATTTTAGAAACAAAAAAAAAAAGACAAATATTCAGATATAAATAATGAAAAAATTTCCCATGACTTTATGGCATATGGACTTTCCAGCAGCATATTTCACATATAAAAGAAAACAATTGCAGCCACAAATAATGCAAATCAGAGTTCAACAGCAAGTCATCCAAGCATTCGTTTTCCAGCATGTCAAACCATACAGTTGCCCAAGCAAAAGAACGAGTTTAACAACAAAATACAAAATATTTAGCACCAACAGTGGGCTATTTAGGAGCAGACTCATCTCCTTGGTCTTGAGAAAGCACCAACAACCGCTTGGCTGAAATGGTAGAACTAGATGTACCAATATCTTCATCACCATGCACCAAATTGACAATTCTCCGAGTGAGGGATCCCGGTGAAATGGTGTCAGCTGTGATTATCTTGGGCCTTTTTGGCTTCCTCCTCTCTTGGGGTGGTCTTTTCCTACATGAATGGACAAATTATGCATAATACAAAACTAACCCAGATTTAAGGAATTCAGAACTAACGCACCTCTTTTTTGGTTCATTCAAAGGGCAATTTCCAGTTTCACGATGTCCAAACTCTCCACATTTGTTGCATCGCTGCTGTTTCTTTGCTCCTGGTTCATGACTAGCTTTAAACCTGTTCTTCCTTTGTCTTCCAGATTTTCTTTTCAATGGAGGTGGCAGCAACTTGAAACCCATATCCACTTGAGGCCACTGTGATTTGTCAGTCATATGTGGAATTGAGCCACCATATGCTGTCCTAAATCTCTCTACGCTATAGTATTCATGAACAAAAGTAGCCATATCAATTTCTGAAAACATCTTAATGAAAGCTAAAGCATGAGGACATGGTTTTCCTGTCATTTCCCACTCCCCACAAGTGCAAGTTTGAGTGGTCAGATCTACCACATGCCCCCAAGGTGTCATATCATGATGAAACCCAAACACTTCTGCAGTAAAGTGCAAATTATGAACCTTCATTTGACCCAATCCTCTTGTTTTGGCTTTCAGTTGCTTGATTATTGTTGGAAGAATGATTCCAGAGAGTTTGCTTCCGATCCTTCTTCTCTTCTCCCACAAATCCATTGTCATCCGCCTCAACATATTAATTAGATCAACAAGAGGCAAGTCCTTTATCTTCTTGATCCAACTGTTGAAGCTCTCCGATAGATTGTTGTTCACATAATCACACTTGACATCATTTGAGAACATGGACCTGCTCCACTTGTGATTGTGGTGTTGGTTCATGTAAGTCACAACCTTTGGATCCGCAGCAACAACTTGATTCCAATGGAACTCAAATTTGTTAGACTTGTACGCTCTAGCTGCTGGCCACATATTCTTGTCATAGACTTCTCCCCGAAAGTACTTTTTGAAGTTTGCCCATAGATGTCTCATGCATTCCCTATGTTCAATGCCAGGGAACACCTCCTTCACTGCAGCATCAAGACCTTTGCATGCATCTGTGGATATAGCTAAAGATGGCGGATGGCCAACCAATTGCCTCATGAACCACTTCCAATTATCAGAAGATTCAGATTCAAATATGGCCCATGCAACAGGGTACATCCAATTGTTACCATCAAGCGCCGTTGCAGATGCCAATTGCCCCTTGTACCTTCCGTTCAAGGCAGTAGAGTCAATACCAAGGTAAGGGCGGCATCCTTGCAGAAATCCATCAACACAGGGCCTCATCGCTAGGAATAGCTTGTCAAACATCACACCATCTCCACTCGGCTTAGTGGCAATTTCAAAAATAGTGTCCGGAGACCGATGAAGGAGTGCAGCCCTAAAACTAAACAAGGTCTGAAAGCTATCTTCCCAAGAGCCATATATTGAATCCATTGCTAGCTGCCTTCCATTCCAAGTAGTAGCATAACTGACCTCTACCCCATATTTTTCTAACAATTTGTCTTGCAAATCAGCTGCTCCAAGTCCTGGCTTCTTTCTCAACCATGAAACCACTCCCTCTGCAACCCACCTCTTAGATGCCATTGTGTTGACCAGCGAACCAGTACCCATACATTCATGCTCATGGGGAATCATGGTGATCTGTACAAAAAGAAATGAAGGAAGAATTAGTCATTTGACACATCTTATATATTGTAAACCATTGAAATGCATATAAGTTAGTTACAAAACATACCTCAACAGTAGGCTGTCCCACAAGTTTATTAGCAACAATTCTCCAAGGACATCCATTTGCCTTGCATTCAGCCCTATACCTTTTTTTATCAGTTCTAACCTTGTGCACCACAAATTCATTTAGGATGGCATATTGCTTCAAAGCCATCCTAAAACGCTCCATTGTTGGAAAGGTCTCCCCCTTTCTAATCTTTGGATTTTCGCTATCAACCACAAACCTTGGCTCATTTTCAGCATAGTCATCAACTGAAATTTCTGTTGTATTAAGATCAACACCATCATTTCCCAAGTTCATTGTTGCTGCCTCATCCTCAGCCCTCAATCCAAGAGACACAAACACCTCATGGTCCTCCATAAATATGTCGTTGTCTTCCATCCAAGAAGGGTCAACATTTTCTTTAATGTCGTCACCACTTTCCTCATCCGATTCATCTGAACTACTTGTCGTCAATGCCATATTTGGATTCCTCCTCACGGGTAGTTTATCCAATTTAGCCTCTAATGTCGTACTAATCTTATATGAAGGCTTAATTGGAAACTCAACAACAAATGAGACTAACTTTTTGGAATGAAATTTATGGAATACCATGCTCAACTCATCATCTGTAGCAACCACTTGTAATCCCATCTTTTCAGTGTCCCAATACCAAAATGTTGCCTCTTGACATGTACCCCAACTGGTTTTGTTTCTAAGATCAGCCAAAAGATTAAACATTAAATATCCATCAACATTTTTCAGTTCCACAATATGATCTTTACCATCTACATCAACACTACTGCCATCATCCAAATATGCAGTGTAAGCAGGAACTCTAAGACTGATTCTCATTGAAGGCTGTGATTCAATCCTAAATGTAACAAAATAAACTAATTTAGCACAACAAACTTTCATACACTAGTAAATCGCAATTGTGACTGAAGCTCACCTGGTATTGAAGCTCAGATTGCCCTGCCCTGGTGCAATGCTATGGCCCTCCGCATTTTCAGGCATGCTGGCCGGCGACTGGGTGCTCAAGCGAATTCCAGAGGCTGAGCCTTGTCCCTCGGTACAGGTAGGGTTTGCCGCTCCTGTGCTTTGGATTTTGGGATGGGAAACGCGCGCAAGCAGATTTGATTAGGAAGGGGCATGCCGGTCATTTTCTGCCTTGATTTAGGACGAAAAAAAAAAGAAATCACAAAATGGCGCTGTGGAACGACGATGATATAGACTTGTGGCCTTCTGGTGAAGCTCAGTTTACTAAAGGCGTTTTGGTGAGGCCGCTCCTTAGTTGTGGCGTTCTGATAATTTGCCCCAAGCTTGAAGATCGATGTTAGAAAAATGTGAAAGTATACAATAAATGAAGGTATAAAATCCAGGCTTGTTCAGCTTGAAAATTGGTGTCAGAAATATGTGAAAGTATACAATAAATGAAGGTACGTGTCCAGCAAAATTTTCTCTACGAACTTATATCATAGACAATTGAACCTAGTGCTCAAACATACTATTTATCACTTTATTCTTCATAATCATACAAAAATCGAGTGATATTTTAGTGTTGGTACGATTTTTTATATCAACTTTGCAATAGAGTTTTTTAAACTTGAAAATCATTTATACAATCTTCTTTAAAATTTACTATTTATATTCATTAACACATTTATAGCTACAAATTAATTTTTTATTATTTCTTTATGAAATCACCATTTATCACTATTTAATAATGAATGGGTGTGAATAATATACACATCCAATTATTATTATTATTATTATTATTATTATTATTATTATTATTATTTTCTTTTTTTGTGTTCGCAGTTGAGAAACATCCAAACACGGTCTTAACTTTCTTCGTTTCCTTTTTTCCCGACTATTTTCTTCTCCATCGTCTCGTCAAATTCTCTCTGAAAACCTCCCTCCGAATCTGCAGAGCTCGAATTCACGCCACTTCTCTCAAAGCCACAATCACACTCTCGACAGATAAAGAAGAGTAAGATAGATGGAGGTGGAGTTGGAGCCAAGGGTTAAACCACTGACTTACAAGGTGAAGGCTACTTCCAGAGAGTCCCCCGCGCAGAAGGCCGCTCACGTGCTGGACACGGACCTCCGAAGCCATTGGTCCACGGGCACAAACACCAAAGAGTGGATCTTGCTCGAGCTCGACGTATGTATAAGGACTCAAAATTTTTTGTTGCAGTTGCCATGGAGAAATCTCATCTACCCTTTTTGTGTTTTCACTTGGTTTGAATTTAGCTGCTCTTGACTGAGTTATTTTGAAATTGACATGGGTTTGTGTGAGAATCTTGTGTGCTTGGGGTTTGGCTACTCAGCTGGAGTCAATGTGCTTAGCTTAATTTAGGAGAAGGGAACTTAGGAGGATTGATTTTAAACTTTGAGTAGTTCATGAACATAATAGTTCTTTTTCTGGAAGAAAAATAGTATTTTAATTAACTTTTTGTTAGGTGGTGTGTGGCTGGTTGTATGATAGTATGCCAAATTATACTAGCTGCGTTTGTGTGTGAATTGATCATATATTATGAATTTGTAAGCCAAATGCTTATGCATCAGTCTGTTGTTGTAGTGGGCCATATCGTTGTTTCTTAAGTACATCTTCTACAGTGGGGGCTTCACAGCACCAGTAGCTAATTATCTGTGTTGCCGCTTACGAGTTCGGTTATCAGTATTTGCTAATGAAGGCTTGTGAAAATTATATAAAAGACAATGAAGCTACTGAATTTGTAGTAGCAGTGTAGATAGCATAAAGTGTGCCATGCAAGTTCGAATTTTTAGATGCATTTGTAAATTTAAAACAGCTACAATTAACTTCCATGTGAGATTTCAGCATCTGCATTATGTATTGATTAGTTTCCAATATTGGATTTAATTTTTTATTTTTCCTGTTCATTACAGGAACCTTGCCTGCTTTCACACGTAAGGATATATAATAAATCAGTGCTGGAATGGGAAATTTCAGCTGGATTACGTTATAAGGTTTGTGAAACATGATGTTTTTACAAGTATCTTTTTTATATTATCTTAATCAGACTAACTTCAATCTTCGTCTTCTGAACTTTTTAGTAGTTGATACTTGAAGTTTTGTACATTCTTATCCTTTAGTCATCTACTCGCCTTTTATTCGTGCTATTTCCACTTTCGGGGTGCTGGTCTGATTTGACTAGCTTGGCGTGAAATATCTTCAAGGGTTTATTGTTTGATGGTTTATGTTGCAATGCACAATGCGCTATATGAGATTGTTTAGTACTTGGTTGGTATTTGCACAACCGATTAAAGTAAAAATTCTGAGGCCACAAGAGTTATGCATCTTACTTATGCCTGAACAAGTAAAAGTGGTATCGTAACATAATTTATATTTATGCTTTTTTGTTTCCTATTTTTGTTTGTGTTCTTACTGCATCTGGGAGACAATATCTATGCAATATGCATCTTATGCGTTGCCCAAAAAATTATCAAGTATCCTAACATACTTCTAATTTTGTTCATGTGTAATTATATTTTTGTTGGTATTCTTACTCCATCAGTCAGATGGTAGTAACAGCTACGAGCATGTGTCTAACTAAGAAGTTACAGATACAGATTCTGCTATATTATATGGCTGATATAACTACTGCATCAAGAAGAAATATAATGTTTATTTTTTGGTTTAATTTTCCTATGGTAAGCGGTTCATCTTTCTTTTCTTTTTGTATATTGTATAAAGTTCTAGTTCATGTGCTCTTTTTTTTTTTGTTTTTTTTTTGTTTTTTATGTATTTTGGATGACAGCTTGTCCACTGGCTCTGATTGGGAAGTGGTTAAATCGTAGATTTACATATCTTGCTGTTTTGGAATTTTTCATTTTCAATTTCACGGCCTGCAGATTTCTAGTACTTTCATTGTCCATTGTCTCAATAGTCCTTGTATCGTGTGATACTACCCATTATTTTTACAAACTAACTATATTACTGTGAGGCTTTGCTTCCTAACATTATTATCTCACAAGTGTTGTTCATAACTATCCTTTTGCTCTGTAACATATTCTCTTGACAGCCAGAGACATTTGTTAAAGTTCGTTCCCGTTGTGAGGCGCCTCGGCGTGACATGATGTACCAAATGAATTACACTCCTTGCCGCTATGTGCGGATATCTTGTATGCGTGGGAACCCAATAGCTTTATTTTTTATACAGGTAAAACTGAAATTCTTACTGCACCACGTGCGTGTAGTTGCTAGCCTCATTCTCCATCATTGACTCATTATTTGGCTGGCATTTTCATATGAATTTCCTTTTCTGTTTGCATTTTTTGCCTGATTTTAGGTTGTCACACCATATAAGTGTATACTGCCCCGATCAGTTATCTTACCTGCATAAACTTTGGTGGCTATTTACTATGTTACTCGGACTCTTCTATTTAGGAAGAATACCCGTGTCATGTTGTGTCGACACTGGTGTGGGTATGAGTGTCGGGTGTGGCATTTTAGCCTAAAATGTTCAAGATTTTTAAACTATTGATGAGTCGGACGCTCATATCTCCACACCCGATACTCACCCATATCCGAGTCCAGGCAGCATAGGCTATTTATGTCTTGCCTACATTATATCCCGACCATGGTTTTCTATGTTTTTCCATTGCAGTTGATCGGGATTCCAGTTCCAGGTTTAGAGCCAGAGTTTCAACCAGTTGCTAACCACTTGCTACCGCACATAATATCACAAAAGCAAGAAGCTGATGATATGCATCTTCGGGTGAATTAACTTAATAAATATTTGAAATGCCTCTAGTGATTTTTGCTATGCGAACTGTATGGATTTCAGCTGCTTGCTTTTCCTTGTTGTCGAACTATCTGTTTGTAGTTGCTTCAAGATGTGACAATCAGGTTGGCTACTTTTCTTCCTCACCTTGAGGTATAGATTCTGAGTCCCCAATATGCAGGAAAAGAAGTAATTTGTTGCAGTACAAGTTACTGAACTCTTGTTGTTAATATCAATAAATATCTTGCAGGGTGATCTTACTAGCTTTTCAGAAGCTCCAGAACCTACTATGCGTTTTCTTGCTATGCTTGCCGGTCCATTTTATCCCATCCTCAGGATTGTTAGTGAAAGGTAGGTTCTATTATAGTAGAAGAATAATTTTCCATAAAACTTCCCTTGATTTATCTTGGCAATTTATGTAACAAATAATTGGTGTGGAACTGGGATATAACATGCACCATTGAGGTTTACCTATAAAACAAAGACCCAATTAGTGTCATAATTACAAATACTATCTTCCTAATCATTTCAGAAACCGCACCTTCAAAAGTTGGATATATGTTAGGAAATAAAAAATTTAAGTACCATATGTAATCCTTTCATGGGGTACTTAAGGTTTTGAAGATGATTGCAGCTTTTAGTATTAGGCTGAATTGCTCTGGTAATTTTTGTAATCATCCCGATGAATTTTCAGGGAACATATATTATCTTTTCCTTGTGTAATGTTGTTGTGCTTCTAGAGTAGTTTAATGTCAGACAAATGCTTATATCTGCAAACTGCTTTCATGATAGTAATATTTCTGTTGGTCAATAAGTTGTGTTCGAGCAATCTCATGAATTTCCTGACATTAGGAATATAGTTTAAATTTTGTAGAGGAAGGAGCGAAATTGGGTTTCGAATTTGGATTACTTCTAGACTGTTGATTATGGTGCAAATAGTGTATTTATTCATTTCGTAAAAATAGTGGTATGTCTGCCAAAGTTACAGTTGAATTCCGAGATGAAACAAGGTATGATATATTGAAAAGTTGCAGATATTTAGATTTCATCAATTAAAAACCTATAATTTTCTTCCTATTTCTACTTAAACCACGTTGTTTTAGGTAAGGCAAGGTGGTGCCGTTTAAGTTGGTTTACTTGACAAATTGCACTGAAGGAAATGAAAATAGAGGAGAGCAACAATAAATAAATGAAAAAATCAATGACCATAAAGATCATATGAAGTGGTAGGAAAAAGATGAATAGCTCCAAAATGTTCAATATATCTTCTTCAAAGATTGTTTGACCCCTGGTAGGAAATGACTCATACAAAAGATCTTTGCGGAATGACAGGGAATCTGCACGGTTGGCTCTCAATGCCTCAGAACATGAAGCTTCTAAGACCAATCTGTCATCCGCAACCTTGACGGTTTCCTCAAATTTCGAGGTACTGTAATTGTCTATCTCTAAAATCTAGTTGATGCTGTGATGTGCCATATCCAAATTGACATGGCTTTGACTATTTGCCATTACTTTCCCTTTTTATTTTCCTCTTCCTTTAGTGAATCTTCTGTTAAACACTTCTCTACCTAAAATTTAGTTTTGAGGGCATCTTCAATAATGTGACAAGAGGAGCATTTGCTGTTTCCATTACACACACACACACGCATATTTATTTACGAATTAGCTTCTTCACCTTCGATGTGTGTGCATCACAAGTGACTTCGAACACATGGGGATTATTACAACTCTGTTGTTAATTCGAAGTCATACAATATTGAACAATTGAACAACCCTGAAACTTAGTTGCTAGTTAAGGATTCATATTTTGTATTACCATGATGTGTGATATTTTATTCTGCAATGTAATTATTTAAAGGTGACTTGGTCGTTCCCTCTAATGCAGTTTTTACATGGTCACATGCTTATACTATGTTCACATATATTCCCCCTGATGGATATTGTATTAATGATTTGACATACTTAATACTGTTGTACACAAAGATGGAAATCTTTCTTCTAACCTCAGTTTAATAATGCTCCTTGCAACTTCTATTTAATAGTTCTATCGATAATTACTTGGCTAAACCCCTTTTTTAATCTTCTACAATGCTCAGCCAAGGAGATCACGGAATTCATCGTCTATTTTCCCACCTATTTCAATGCACCTGGTATACCGTCCTGACGCAGTCTTCATACTTATTAGGAAAGCTTACAAAGATTCTAACCTGGGGAACGTGTGTAAAATGGTGAGTTATGGCCGCTATTTCTCTATATACTTCCTTGTTTGCGTACCTTCTTCAATTGGTGAACCAAAAAATGTACAAATTCTAAGTAATAAAAGGAGCTCCATTTTTTGTTTCCCTGACTTTCTCAATCCGTGATTGCAATAATATAGGCAGCAAGAATTCTTACGAAGCTAATGGGGCCCATGAGAAATCATGAAGTATCTACTCAGGCTTCCGACATTTCAACTTCTGTGGCTGATGATACGCCTAAATCTGATCCTTGTGATCCTACTGTGTTAGCTGATTATTCAAACTTATTTGGGGAGGAATTTCAAATACCAGATGATTTCTGGGATCCTGCATATCTGAATATCTTAGATACTGCAGCTGTGGAAGAAGGAATAATGCATGTTTTATATGCTTCTGCATCTCAGGTTTGGTACATGCAGCAAGATGTTTTGTCAACTTGTATGCTATTTGTTTAGCACCATTTATCACCATTATGAACAACTGCTGGTACTGTGTTGTTTCAGCCTTTCCACTGCAGCAAGCTGGCCGAGCACACTGAGGAGTTTTGGTTCGCATTACCTTTAATACAAGCGTTGCTTCCAGGTTTTATTGCTGTTACCTGTTTGCAATCTGGATTGTTCTGAAGTTATTCTTTTACACATTGCGCAAATCGTCTAACAGTCCAACTACCAAATTTACTGTTCAATATTACTATTCATTTCGTGTTTTCAGATCCTCCTTTTTTCAGAATCTTTTCTTTAAAAAATGGTTTGTTTTTACAGTCTGGTTATCAAGTTCTTCTGCATTTTAATTGCTGTTGTTTTGGCTGGTTATGAACTTAATAAAGAAATGTATGTCATGTTACTTACGGCATAGTGTTCCTTCTCATCGGAAGTTTGGGTACTTTGTCCAGTTTTCCGTAAGTACTCTCGTATGGTGCATTAAAGATAAACAGTAAGTACAAACACCAAGTTGATTTTGTTACCCATGACTATCTTCAAGCATGATCAAAATGTACCTGCTCGATCCTTTTCAAATTCAATTTATGAAATATTGATACTCTTGGTGAATTGTTACCAACTAGTGTCTAGTATCTAATACTATAAATTATAAAAGTTCTATAGGCATAGTGGCTCCACTATCTTATGGAACCGGCTGCAATTGATTTATTGACTATTGACACATACCCCAAATGTAATTATTGTGACACGTGTTAGTACACAGCACATCATTTGCCTCTGGTTCCATAAATGTGCCAGCTGCTGGTTCCTTATAGCAACACTGTTTGATATAGTAAGTAGCTATTGGAGCTTATAGATCAGTAACTTAGTTGACACGTTTATCTCTTTTGGGCTGCTACAGCACTTCGTCCTATTGTCAGCGGTCCCTACCAATTTGATGACAACTTCTCTCTTTGGAATCAAGCATACATACAAAATGCACTTACTCAGGTATTAAGTGGTATGTTTTAGTTGAGATAAATAATGGTCCTCTACAGTTTGATATTTGTCTAACCTTGGAATGGTAATTACAGATTGCTGCCACTTCATCGTCAGCAATTTACTGCCCTCTGCTTCGTGCTTGCGCTGGCTATTTAGCATCTTTCTCACCCTCACATGTTGGTTACTGCCGCTCTCTATGTTTTGGCCCGAGTGATAATCTTTTCTGTTTGAAAGCATGCATTCTAAGCACTTTTTTTTTTGGTGTGATCTCTTTCCTCTCTCTACCCACTTTCATGAAGTTTTTGCAAGTGCCTGTCTTAAGCACCCTTGGGTATCCTTGACACAATATGCACCAACGTAGTAGTTAGTTCGAATATCTGTAAATCTGGATAAGAAAAGAAGAGGAAAAAAAAATTAGCTATGGCCTTTAACTATCATTGCTGGCATGGTCAGCCTAGAAAACAATATCAGCCGGATCCATCCATAATAAATCAGTTCATTTGGTCTCGTTCTTCCAGAATAAAACATAACAGTCAGTCACATGATTAATTAATTGTCTTGAGGTAAGGTATTGTGTTTATTAGGTGCTAGTTCATGGTTTGCTGTAGTACTCGCTTCAGCTGACTTTAAATTGGAATGATATTTTGACATGTTGGTCACTAAGAGTGGATGCAATTCTTATTGACATAAGTTAATAACAGTGGAGTGGTCGATTCTGGAAGAAGGGAAAAAATAATATTCTAATTTTAGTAACTTCTCTTCCGATGTTTAGTTCTTTATATGATCTGCAGTTAAATTTAACTTCCATTGCAGGCTAAGGCGGCATGTGTTCTTATCGATCTCTGCGCTGGTGTCTTAGCACCATGGATTGCTCAAGTAATTGCAAAGGTCAACTAACTTGTCGTGATGAAAATTTGTATTATCAGTACTTAGCTGCCTCTGATTCACCCGCTTTTATTCATTCCAATTTTTTATGCCCCGAATTACAGGTTGACTTAACTGTGGAGCTCTTGGAGGATCTTTTAGGTGTTATCCAGGTATGTCAATCAGTTCTGCGCCAGCATTATTTCCTGACGTGAAGTCTCTGGTTGATTTCCTTCTGTTTTTTGAGTCTCTCTCAAGTGGCCTTATGTCATGTCTTTCCTCATTATGCATCTGTTTGTAGTCTAATCAATGTTTCTGTGATTTTGAACCTGTTTTCCCCCTCTTTGTTTTGCTTTCTTTTCCTTTTTCTTTCCCACCTGTTCCCCATCTTCAAGAGTTAGTTTTATGGGCATATTCCACAATCCAGAGATGGTATTGAAACTAGTTATTGATAGAAGATCAAATTTTGAATATTGTATAAAAGTTCTATTCCTTTAATATTGAGTGCACGTCTGTGAGATGCTCTTTTTATCAAAATTTTGACATTATCGTGCTTTGATATCGTGGCTCTGCTATCATTTGTGCTTAAATTTTCTGTGTTTGTCGTGCATTTGGCAGGGAGCCCGCCTTTCATTCTCCCGTGGATGTGCTGCCCTAAAATATATTGTTCTGGCTTTGTCTGGGAACATGGATGATATAATAGGAAAATATAAGGTATCCAAAATGAAGTTCAAGCACATAATCTTGGAACTGCTCCTAAATGTTCACTGCTTTCTAAACATAATTTTGTTGTGGATAAAATGCAACAGCTACCCTGGAGACTAATTGTCCAATTTTCATTCGAATCACCAGTATACCTCTTGATTTTTTGTTTTCTTATATTCAGTATGCCCTTAAGCGGAGAGTGTTGTAACACATAGAAAATTGAATGGGTGTTTGTAACACTTTAAGGGGTCTTAGTGTTCTTGAGAGAATAAGTTTTTTATTTTTTATTTTTTTTTTAAAACGCTTAACTCAGCTGTAATTTTCCGTTTTCGTAAGCGGGGTGTGTTGTTAACAAAAATAAAATTGATGGATATATGTAGCACATTAAGGGGGTCTTAGTGATTTTTAGAAATAATCATTTTTTTTTTTTTAATTTAAAAAAAAAAAAAAAATTGGTTAGACTCAACTGTAGTAATAACCTTACTGCAACTGCTATATCTTCTGGCTAACATTTTTATGCTGTTTTTAGGAAGCTAAGCACCGAATACTCTTCTTGCTGATATTGCTAGAACCGTTTCTGGGTCCATCCTTAACCCCCTCAAGGGGCATAATACCCTTCGGAAATGTGTCTTCCATTTTCACTGAAAACCAGGAACACAGCTGTGCTTTAGCGCTAAATGTTATTCGCGCAGCCATAAGAAAGTCTTCTGTGCTTCCATCATTGGAGGCTGAATGGAGAAAGGGATCAGTTGCTCCGAGGTAATTGTGTGCCACATTTACATTTGATCCCAGCATTCTAAGATGCCGAATTATATATGTAGTATATACCTTTGTGTTTCTGATAAAAAATTTAGGCTCAGGTTCACCTTTTGGCATTCCCTTGTAGGCTGGACAGTTGTTTGATTTGTCATTTGTATGAGTGTTTAAGTCTTTCATTCTTTTTTCCAAATGATCATTCAGAACTGCTACTGTTTTGTGTTGTAACAGTATTGATCAAGAACAGTGTCCTTTTCTTCAATGAGATTGCTGTTTGATTATGTTGGTATGTGTCTTACATCTGAAGGATTAAGTAGGAAATGGAGGCTACATAAGTGAGATTGAGGAGGAGAAACATTGTCCCAATTCTTGGATTCTTAAGGCATCTGAAGATATATATCATGTCATCAACAATAAAGCTACTTACCATAAGCTCCAGTAGCACTGCCTACGCAGTTCTAACGACATCATGACATTTTGTTTTACAATTTTTTTGCTTCGACTTATTAATTCCACATTCTTGACTTTAGAAATCTGTATCTGATTTTTTTTTTTTTTTTCTGTATTTTCATGTTCACTTGATTGACATTTTTCTGCATATGGAGTGTAGTTAAGAAAAATTATCTTAATCTGCAGAAATAGCTCAAGATGTGTATAGTCGTAACTTTAGAAAAGGATAGCACTTCCAGGGGCTTGATATAGCAACTTTATGATAGTTAATTTACAGAATGTGTATTATTTTTTCTTACACTATGGCATTCTTAACCCCTCGAGCCCTTCATGTACAGTGTGCTTCTACAAGTTTTGGATGCTCAATTGCAGCTACCTCCTGGTATAGATAATTGCAAATTTTCTTCTTCTGAGAATGTGGACCCACAAGCATCAGCTGCGTTGTCTCATTCCTCTCGTAATGGAGTAGCCTCTTCTCGATCAAATAACCAAGAAAGTGCCGATACAAAGGTCGATGTTACTGACATTAATGGCAAAGTGGATATTTCTGAAGATGCCAGCCTTCTCTTTGCTCCACCTGAGCTGAATAGAATGTCCCTTATTCATGTTCATGACACAAAAATATTGGAGTTGAGCCATTCGAATGTTTCTCTGGAGAAAAAAAATGATATTCAGATGAAACTATTCAACCAGTTTCCCAGTGATGTTTTAGAAGCTGGTGGAGGAATTGACTTTTATAATATGCTGGCTGATTATTCGCAACTTTTGAACTATCGAGATTGTGAGATGAGGGCCTCTGAGTTCAGGCGTTTAGCTCAAGATTTAATCTCTAAGGAAGAGATTGAAAAGGATAGTCATGATGTTGCCATTGATGCTTTGCTTTTGGCAGCCGAGTGCTATATCAACCCCAGCTTTATGATGTCTTTCAAGGACATTTCATCTGAAGTGGGCAAAATTTACCTCACATATTTTAATAAGAACAATGGACCTGCAGAAATCAGTAAACTTTTCAGAAAAAAAGATAATGACTTGAAACTCCTGGCTGATATTGAAAGGAAAAGAGACAGGGTTGTTCTCGAGATCCTGATTGAAGCAGCCGAGTTAGATAGAAAATATCACAAAGTGGCTTCGGGTGACATATCTGAATTTTGTGTTGAAGGGGAGGAGGATGCTATAAGTTTGTCCCAGCAGGATATTGTTTCTGCAGATACCATCACCTTAGTTCGCCATTATCAATCTCTTCTGTCCAACTTTGTGATAAAACGTTTGCAGAGGGACTCGCATATAGAGCAACTTCCCAGGCACGAGATTCTGACGTGGTGTCTTCTTTTTCTGTTACATTCAGCAACTAAATTATCCTGTGCCCCTGAGCATGTGGTTGATGTAATATTGTATCTTGCTGGATCTTTCAACTTGAAGTTGAAATCTTTCTATCACCTACTTAAGGAAGGAAAGGATGAGTCAAATCATGTTAAGCAGCATGAGGTGCAACGCCATTGGATTCTTCTTCACAGACTTGTTGTTGCTTCAAGTGGTAGTGATGAAAGATTTACATTGCCAATCAGTGTAAGAAATGGTTTTCGGTTCTCAAATTTGATCCCTCCACTGGCCTGGCTGCAGAAAATACCCGTCTTTTCTGCTTCAGCCTTACCAGTCGTGAGGTATTTTGGTTGGATGGCTGTTGCACGCAATGCAAAGCAGTTTCTCAGAGAGCGGCTCTTTCTAGCTTCTGATTTGGCACAATTAAATTGTCTATTGTCTATATTTTCTGACGACCTCTCTATAGTTCATAATGTTGCGGAGCAGAAAGGGAGGGATAAGCCAATTGAAGAACCAAATTCAATGCAGAATACTAATATGGAAGGTGGAGTCAGATCTCTTAGCCACGAAGATGGATTGCAATCTTTTCATGCCCTCTATCCTGATATCTACAAATTCTTTCCGAATTTGAAGAACGAGTTTGTGTGTTTTGGAGAAACTATATTGGAAGCAGTTGGTTTGCAGTTGAAATTTCTTTCATCCTCTGGTGTTCCAGATTTAATGTGTTGGTTTTCTGATTTATGCTCATGGCCCTTTGGTCAAACTGAGAACCCGCAGGTCTTTTCACAAAACAAGCCTGAATATTTTAAAGGTTTTGTTGCTAAGAATGCAAAAGCTGTCGTTCTGTACATGCTTGAAGCCATCATAGCCGAGCACATGGAAGCAATAGTCCCAGAAGTACCTAGAGTGGTGAAAGTGCTTGAATCCCTATGCAAGACTTCATACTGTGACGTCTCGTTTCTTGATTCTGTCCTGTGTTTGCTAAAGCCTGTCATAGCATATTCCCTAAGCAAGATGTCTGATGTAGAAAACTCATTGATGGATGATTCATGCGATAATTTCGAAACTTTATGCTTCGGTGAACTCTTTAACAATATTAGATATGGTGATAACTATCAAGGTACTCCAATTAAAAACGGAAAGTGCCAAGCATTAACTATATATGTTCTAGCCACCATTTTTCGCGATTTATCCTTCCGCCGCAAAATAGAACTGTTGCAGGCCACCATATTATGGGCCGATTTTGCCGACTTCGAGTCATCAGGTGTTTTTCATGATTATATATGTGCATATCAGATTCTCATGGAAAACTGTAGAGATTTGCTTTTTGCTACTTCCAGAGCCTGGGGTATCATTCCACTTACAAGTTCTTCATATTCTGATACTAGCATTTCTGGTCTTGACGAATCTTCGTCATCCTTTATGTTTCTCAATGATATATGCAACCCCTCGTCATCTACTGATGCCAGTCAAAAGATTTGTCAACTGACTCTGGAAGAAGTGAAGTTTTTCTCCAAGGAGCTTGAGGCCCTAATTTTGAAGCTTAATCCAACCTTAGAACAAAGCTGGAAACTGCACATTACAGTGTCCAAAAAACTAGTGCTCATGTGCGCTGAGTGCTACTTATACGCAAGGGCCTTGATCTTGACTGCTGAGGAAGTTTCTTCTTCTTCTTCAGGACAAGAGTATCGTGTCCCAAACGAATATCTTGATGAGCTCCCACGAATTTGGCGTACAAGTCTTCAAGCACTTTCTGAAATGATTTTGATGCTTCAGGAAAAACATTGTTGGGAGGTTGCATCAGTCTTACTCGACTCACTCCTGCAGGTGCCTCAGTGTTTTCATTTGGATAATGTAATTGGTGACACTTGCTCGGCCTTAAAGATTTTTTCTACAAAGGCACCCAATATCTATTGGAGGCTGCAGGCTGATAAAATGATATCATTGTTGTTGAGTCGAGGCATTCATAACATATGTAAAGACGAAGCACCTTTGATTGATCTATTCTCTACCTTTCTCGGGCATCCAGAGCCTGAACAAAGATATATTGCTCTAAAGCATTTGGGTAGACTTGTTGGCCAAGATCCCGATGGTGGAAGCCTATTTATTCCCCGAATGATATCCTCATCAGAATTACTTATTTCTGCTTCTGAGAAGATTTTATGCGCTTTGGTTTCGTCTATCTGGGATAATATAGTATTGATGGCTTCATCTGACTCGTCACTGCTATTAAGAACCAACGCAACTGCACTTCTTATCAACTTCATACCATTTGCTGAGAAGTCTAAATTGCAGTCATTCCTTGCGGCAGCTGATAGTATTCTTCAATGTCTTACGACTCTTGCACAGCCGGTGTGTTATGGGCCCCTGACGCAATTCTCCCTAGCACTGATTGCCAGTGTTTGCCTTTATTCTCCATGTGAAGATCTTTCACTGATTCCTGAAAGTATTTGGAGGAATATCGAAAGTTTTGGAATGTCTGGAACTGGTAATTCTTTTCAGATTGCTGGGCTGTAAATAAATTTGCCAGTCTTACCTGTTAGACTATCTTTGTATACTGAGATTTCCCCTTTTTTTTTATTATAGATAAGTGTTGTACCAGTCTCGAGAAAAAGGCATGTGAAGCACTGTGTAGAGTGAAAAATGATGGAGAACAAGCTAAAGAGGTACGGCAAAATTAGACGTATTGTTACAAATGTATTTCCCTGGGCTAGATAAATTGTTATATAAATGGAATGTATTTATGTCATTGTCTGCAATGAGTTAGCGGCATATGGATCGTGCTTTCTTTAGTCTGTGATTCTTTTTCTTTAGTACATCATTGTTAGTTTTTCACATTTACTTGTTCTTAATTTATATAATTTCTTGCAGCTTTTGAAGGAAGTGCTTTCTTCAAGTTCTCTAAAGCAGGAAGACCCTGATTTCGCTACTACGCGAGAATCCATCCTTCAGGTACAGAACTTGATCCTTTTTACAACTATTCATTTTAAGAGGCAATTTGGTCCAAAGGCTAAACAGAGATTGGTTTTGTCTAAATGACTTCCCGACTGGGCTTGAATCTTCATACTTGATGGACAGAGATTATTTTATCAGATGTTCTGTATGGTAGAATAACAGTATGGTTCTGTGTCGAGTTCCATTTGGGAAATGATTTGCTTTGTCCTGTGATGACGTGAGATACTTGTTTATCGCCTTCATATTGCTTTAAACACATTAATGTCTATGTGCACTTGTGTTGCCAGGTTATCAGCAATTTAACCTCTGCCAGGTCATATTTTGATTTTTTCGCAAAGGAAGCTGACAGGAAGATGATGGTCAGTTCTTGCACAAATTCTTGATATATGCCTTGCTTCAACTCACTTAATGTAGTAGTAATAATTCCTGTATTTCTTTTAGGAATTGGAAGAAGCTGAAATAGAACTGGAACTTCTTCAGCAAGAGGGTCCGATTCCAGGTTCATCTTTTGATTTCCGAGATTGGCAGAAGATACCACTTCTTTCAAGTAATAATATTACCCGACACTGATGTTTTTCCATACAGTCAAAATATTAATAGAGACTATTAGCTATTTTATGAGTGGACTTGGATAATTCTCTCGCATTACAGTACACTAGTAGTTTTTTAATGTTATAGTTTTCTCTTGAATTCAATTGAGTTGTTTATTTTTTATTTGTATTTATATTTATACCATGCAGCCTATGCAAAGAACGATAACCGGCTGCAGCAAATCAAAGACGGAATTGAATCTATGTATGTGCTGGTATTCTTATTTGTGACTTGCCGAGCTCCGCAAAATTTCGCTTATGTTTGGTATTTCCACACGAGTATGTTTCTAATTCCTAGCTTTCTTTCATCAGAGAAAAGGCTAAACTCAGGGAAGACATTGTGGCTCGCAGGCAGCAAAAGCTCCTTCTAAGGCGTGCCCGTCAACAATTACTAGAGGAAGCAGCCTTACGAGAGGCAGAACTAATTCAAATGCTCGATAGGTCTTAGTCTCTTTTACTGATAATCTTTTCTACAGTTATGATGTGTATTTCTATTCTATTTGGGTTGAAAATCCGGTCTTTTGGTCCATTTAGAGAGAGAACAAGGGAAGCAGAAAAGGAGCTCGAGAGGCAGCAATTGCTGGAGCTTGAACGAGCCAAAACGAGAGAATTGCGGCACAATCTGGAGATGGAGAAAGAAAAGCAAGCACAGGCAAGACTCATTGTAGAAGCTAATTACTCGTGCGAATATTCATACGTCTTATTGGTGATCAAGAGTCATTTTATCTCGGATCTTCCATGAACCTTCCTTACAAACCATATAATTGTCATTGAGTTGAAATGAAATACATCGGTTTATTTGTTTTCCCAAAATTTCCTTAGTGATTTAGGAACTGATTTTTTTATCCTGCAAAGTAAATTGTTTTTCCAAAGCACCGCTTTATTTGTTATTTTTTTTTTTTAATGCAGAGAGATCTCCAAAGAGAAATCGAGCAAGTTGAATCTGGCGTTCGGTCGTCAAGACGAGAATTTGCCTCCTCCAGTCACAGTAGGTAGGTTGTTAACATGTTGTTACTATCTAAACGACTTATCTCAACAGTGAATTGCTTCAGTTGAAAGAAAAAAACTATCAGTGCCAACCTACACAACTTTTGTATGAAAGTTCATGTCATGTGAGCAAATCTCACTGCAGAACCATTAGGTCATCATCATCCCAATATTTTATTCATCAGTTTAGTCAGTCAAATAATCTTCCTCCTTAATTGCAATGTCTTTTTTTCTCTTTGGCTGCTATTGTTCTTTCGACCATCAGGACACGAGATAATCGGTATCGTGAAAGAGAAAACGGCCGGGAAAGTAATGAAAGCAGCCTGAGAACAAGCACCACCCGAAGTTTGCAGTCCGATAGCACAATTTCTGCTATCTCTGGGCGAGGCCCGTTTTCAGGCCCAATCCCTACAATTTTGCAGTCGCGCGAGAGAGCAGATGAATGTGGGAGCAGTTATGAAGAAAATTTTGATGGCAATCGGGACTTGGGTGACACGGGCAGCGTTGGGGACCCGGAAACAGTTTCGGGCCTCGAGGGGCAGGTTGTTGGTTACGGGCCAGGCCAGAGGCACGGGTCGAGAGGAAGTAAATCGAGACAGGTTGTTGAGAGGAGGGAAAGGGACGGTAGGCGTGAAGGGAAGTGGGAACGGAAACACTAACGTTAAATCATCGGGTTTTTTTTTTCCCCTTTATTGTAGAATTTGTAATTTAGGCGTGTTGTTTTTTTTATATAAAGTTATATTATATGAGATGTTAGCAGTTTTGTCCTCCTAGTTTATGAAATGGTTGATTTTTCTTGTTCACAACTGTACTCTTCTGGAAAAACTCAGAAATTTAATCTTGTAAACTTTTTTTTAAGTTATTAGTTTATGGTATTTCCATGAAATGTTATACTACCTCTTATTCTTTTTAAATGTCATTTGGGTTTTATCATTTATTAATAAAATAAATATTATTTTAGATATTTTGTACATATTTTTTCACTATTATCCTCATCTAGTTAATAAATACACTACGTCTTTTCATATTTACTCTTCATATGTTCTCAAAACGTTCATTTCTATCTTCATTAATGAGGGTTATTATTGGCAAAAAAAAAATCTTAATAACTGTGCAACTTTTCAAAACGGCACTTATTATGAATAGGAAGGAGTATTTTACTTTCATGCCAAACTAATACAAGACTTGCATTGTAGTTTTGTAAGATAAACTATGTTTATTTAATGTAGTAACCTCAAACTACAGACAAAAATATAATTCACAACATCAGCTTCTCCATTTGTGTACATCCTTGAAAATGATTCTGAACTTGCACTCGGGAAAAATATTCAACTTCTACTTGCTAGAAACTGATTGGAGATCTTGCAAGCCAAGAACTTGGGATGAGTAGTTAAGATCTGATTTAAGGGGCCCGATGAAAGCTGATTTCAGACAACATTTTACAATCCGATACCACGGGCACAATTTTATGAACAGGTAGCAGGTCTCAACTGGAACATACAAAAGCAACATTAAAAAAATGTGATTCATGTTGCACATTATTATCATTGTTTAATGTACAAAAATCCTAAACTTCAGTTAGCATAAATACCCCACCAAAAAAAAGAGAGAGAAAGAGAGTGATCTTTGTTATTATTTTTCTTCATTTGTTTCTTGCTTTCCTTATTTACCTTTTTTTTTTTTTCCGGTGATTCTCATTAGCACGTATGAATAATAATTGGTTTAAAGACGAAAACAAGATAGGATACAACCATACCTTAGCTTCTGATACATCCTTCGAAAGATTCGAGCACCTTTTAATTCCTCATGAATTTCTCTCTCTGTTCTTATTCCCATTGGATTACTCAACAACCAGCCATCATGATCACAGAGCATATCACCGTTAATACTGTCAATGTGTACTAATCTATTCGACTCAGCATCAAAATTGCTTCTCATGTCAAGTGCCACATCCAGTACATCAGATTGTATGAAAATCTGCCCAAGGAAAAAAAGCAAACATACGATCGACTGTCAGTAAGGTAAAAGTCAAATGTTAAAGAAACAAAATAGGTCGCTGTTTATTTATCTTAAATTTTGAAGAGAGCAAACATTAGACGAAAGATTCCAGGTCAGAGCAAGGAGCTTTCACTGAAAGAATAAAAAACTATGTTTTAATCAAGATAAGAAAGGGTAAATGCTGATTTAGAAGTGGTACAACCGGAATTGCGTTCCAATACAGGTTTTTTTTTTTTCTCATATTTGCATCATCAGCCGAGAAAATCAACATGCAAAATGAAGTATAAAACAGCTTAATTTCCCGAACCAAGGTTTATAATTTACAAGTATTTTGTGGAAAAACAGTAAAAAATTACTAGAAGAGTTAGGAAATAGGCCATATTACCTTTCCACCAGGAACTACAAGTTCTATAATTGACTCGACCAGAGGCTTCTGAACAACCCTTCTTTTATGATGTTTTCTCTTGAAATAAGGATCTGGGCACTGCACAAATGAGTGTATTACTTCCTATTTTAAAGTTTTTAACAATCCATAAGCAGCTCATCTACAATATGCATATCTCTTCCAGAAACAATTCTCTTCCGGCTACAAAATTTACAGAATATTCTATTGCTCATGAAATATCGTAATAGATGAAAATATCTCACCAAAATAGATACCAAAACCAAGGGACCAGGATATGTTGATACGAGCTGTTTGAAGGAGACCGTTGCATTGGCAAAAATAAAATGTCTGCAAAAACACACTTATCAATGCCCATGCTGAGGTGGGTTCAAAAACCAAGATATACTGAGCTTTTGAATTCTTACATATTCTTCAACCCCAGTTCATTTACACAATGTCCAGCACGTCTGACCAACTGCATTGCACAGGGAAAAAACATATAAATAAATAAATAAACAGTGAGCTGAGTATTGAATTTGTCCAAGACTCCAGAAAGGAAAGTAGACTTGTTCAATAATACAAATACCAAGAAAAGTGTCGTACTTTTGGACGTATTTCCAATCCCAGATAATTCCTTAACCCAGGATTTCTCTTTGCATGCCACATGAGGAATCTGCCACTGCCTGAATTAACAACACTTTAGATAACAAAGAATTTTGTTAAGTCCAAATTCAACATATGAATGCAACAACAAGAGTGAATTTGGACTGTGAAAAAGTTAATTTCTAATACTCCACAATTAGTTCAAACAGGAGATCAAGGATTTGAACACATGGGTTTTCATGATCAAACAAACAGGCTCTTAGCTTCAAATCCTTCCGTCCAATGCAATCTTCCAGAACTATATTGACAAGTGCTATATCATGATAATCAATAATACGTATGGAAGGAATACAATCAGGCAACATAAAGCCGGTCAAAAGCGAAAATCCAACCAAAAAGTTCATGCACAAAGCTTAGGCTTGCAACTACATAATTATATGAAGTTAAAAGTCAGACGGGGATCCTTTATCTCATAGTAATGAAAACTAATGTAATTTTCAGTTTGACTCGCTTTATATCACATAGTCGAGCCAAAGCATGTGATTGCAAATTTTCCACCATAACAGCACCAGCCGGCCTCTTCTATCCCATTCACGTGTTCAGAGATGCAATTTATTTCAAACCCCTCTATCTCATACACGTGGGAACAAAAGATGGAATTAAAGAACGAAATGAATATCCTCGGTTGATATGGCACAAGAAATTAATCTCTTACCACAACCAATATCCACCATCAGTGGCAATGTCGAGTCCTCATATACGGCATTCCAATCTGGTACATCCACAGGAATCTATACACATTACAGCAGAACGATTTTAAACTCTTTCTGGAGGAGATAATTTACTCTACTTGAAATAGAACAAGATAAAACTGACCCCCAAAACAACATTTGCTTACGCTCATATACTCCAACGGTAAGCGTGTATTATTGTTCAACCACACAAAAGAGAACATTCGGAAGAAAAAATGAATAAGTACACAGCAACAGAGAAATACCATGGAAGAGGAACTGAGAGGATTGACATGCTGCCGGATTCGAACATGGCCCACCTCCTGCAATCCCCCTTGCAAAACATAAAACAACCAACAATGAAAACAAAAACGAAATCAATACTGAAAACCTAGGAGTGGTGGAAGATTCGTGCAAAGTTCAATGCTTTAATATCACCCTAATCCTATTAACTACTTATAAAACGCCAAAAGCCCAGGTGAATTAAGCGAGACCTTGCAGAGTCTGTCGGGGAGGTTGAGGTCGGCGTATTCACGGGCAACAAGCTCGGTGCTTCTTATTTCTCCTGTTTCGGACAAGGGAAGAGCAGGATAAGCCGCCGATACCTTGCGGCGGATGAGGATTGGGAGCGATAACTTCCGCGACGGCAGTGCGGCGGCAGTTGGGCTGACGAGTCTGAGGATAGCGTAAGAAATGCACGCCATTGGATTGGAGCTCGGAAATGTGAGATGGCACTTGGCGGAGCTAACCACCGTTGTGAATAAGCCTCGGCCGGTGCTTATCATTTTTTCTTGTTTTCGCAATAAACAACCGGAAACGTTGATCATTTGGTAAATGATTTACCTAAATGCTAACTAGCTGATAAATGAGTTAACTACAGTTGAATTTCAAGCTTATAAGCTCGGAGCATGACGGATTTGCTATGAAACCAACAATTGCCTTCATATAGAGCCAGTCTTCTATAGTCAGTCTTCTATATACAACGAGTAAGCTTACCATATTCTCATATTACTTAAATAATATTAATACAATTTTATTAATATACTAATTTTATTTGTTGTATATAGAAGGTTGGCTCCACTATGAAGCCAACTGTTGGCTTCGTAGCAAAATCGTAGAGTATGAATATGTTTGTTAATCACCATAATTTAGCTTATACAACTTATTTAGTTACTTTCATAAGCTTCTCGTATTCAATATTGTGTTTGGTAAAATATCTTAATAGCTAGTTGATATGTACATAACAAATAAACTGTGAATTGTAAGCTTATAACTGATAACTAGTACGTACCCCGTGCAATGCACGAGACATATATATTAAATTAATTATTTTCAGACGACTCTATTCGTTTAAGTCTAAAAATCAATAGGGTTACCATATAATTTTCACTTGTATATTCGGGCTAGCTTGTAAAGTAATTAATATATTATCTATACATATTTAATTCTTTTTTTATCGGTTATGCATATTTATTTTTAGTTTGAAAAAAAAAAGATTTGACCAGTTGAGTATTAAATCAACACTAATTAATTTATTAAGCAAGTAAAGACGCAAAGCAAGACAATTTAATTATCCAGCAATTTAGGGTAATATATAGTTATTTCCTTTATTAAACATTATTTTTAAAAATAAAACAACATCAGCCCCAAATAATATGGAACATTCATGGTTTTGTTGAAAACCAAAATAACAAAATCCTTAATTAATGGGTAGCATTTAATGCTACTTTTTTATTAAAAAAAAAAAAAAGTTACTAAGAATGAAATGTAATTAATGCAAAATAATTTTGACGAAAATTTGACCTACTATTTTTGAAAAATAGTAAATCTTTTTATATATATATAGATATAGATTATGACTTGGTTGCCCAAAAACTAGCTATTTTAGCTAATATAATGAAAATATTTCGTATAATTAAGGTAATGAACATTTTATTACAAAAAAAAAAAAAAAATGTAATGAACATTTCAATGGGCTTATGTAAAAGTTACATCATATTTTTTAAAAAAACTTGTCCTATTAAGCTAATACAGTGTAAATACAAATAGTTATAAGTTTAAATTTATTTAACCTTTTAAAAGTCTCATAAGCTAATTTAATTTATCGTGTTTACCAAACGCACTATAATACCAGCTTGCATATTAAAAATTGAGTTATTCTTGCTCATCGAAGACGTTATCGTCTTAAACAAACCGGGTTATTGCCTTGTGAACCACTTCCATCCTTAAATTGTTGGTTAACTTGACCTACAGTTTACTGCAAAGCATCGGGAAAGTCCCTAACATAAATTTTCTGATGATCAAGTCAATAAAGACACGAGATAAATGGGTATCAGTATCGTAGTATGTATGTATCTATGTATGCATATACCATACCTTCATTCATACATGTTGTGATTAAGCAAGATGTCAATAAGGTGAATCCCCAATGGAAACTCTCATATAATGATATTATGGGGTGATTGGATATAAGTTATTTTGAGCTTTTGTTGGATTTGTTTGATAGCCAAAATTAATTTTTAAAAGGTTGAATGGATTAGGTCTGAGTAGATTTTGAGCTTGTATTAAAATTAGTTTGATGTAGAATATGAAAGATGTAATTGAGAGTGATGTGTAGTTGAAATTATATGATTAGATTAACGTGAATTACAGTTGATGCAATTTGTGATGGTGATTTAATAATATTATTTAATTATATTGATAATATTAAAGGAAATTGAGTGAATTAAACTAGAATTAGATTTTGGGGTTGAAAATATATTACATGGTAAAACATAACTAACTATTTATATCCAATCTGAGTCTTAGATAAATAGAGTTTAGTTGGACTTAGGTCGATCTATATGCAACATCACTAAAGTAGTTGAATTATGAGAAAAAAGAATCTTCAAAATAAACAGTTTTGAATTAAGAACCGATCAAAATATCCAAAATTATATATAACATATATCATAAAAATTGATAATTGAAATATAAAAAATAACAATCGATCATAAAAAAGAAAAACACAAAATTAGATCATCACTATAAAGTTTAGTGCATGAATTAATTGGAGTATGTTATATACCAATAAATTTATGCTTCTATTATAATTAGATAACAAGTAGCAATGATAATCAATAATCTTAATATTGTAATTTGTAAGATAAGTAGGCACAAAATACAATGCACCAATTGATTGTTCGGTTATACTATGAAGTCAACAGTTGGCTCCATAGTGGAGCCAACCTTCTATATACAATAAATAAACTTACCATATCAATAAAATTATATTAGTGTTATTTAAGTAATCAAAAAATATGGTAGGTCTACTTGTTGTATATAGAAGGTTGACTCTACTATAGAGCCAAATGTTGACTTCATAGCAAAAACCGTTGATCGTTATCTAATACTAATATGGTATGGTTTATTTGTTTGATATAGAAGTTTGTTCCAAATGAAGCCAACTGTTGACTTCATAGCAAAACTGTATAATACATATCTCAACTTATACGTATTTAGTTAAGTGATATATGATATAACTGATTTAATATGGAGTCTTATTGAATAACTAAAATTACGTTCATTATATTATAATGTTGCTATAAAACCAACTGGTTGGTCCCTTATGGAACCAACACCCAATTAGACAGCTCCATGTGGGCTGTCCCACATGGAACTCCATGTGGGACAGCCCACATGGAGCTGTCTAATTGGGTGTTGGTTCCATAAGGAACAAACCAGTTGGTTTTATAGCAACATTGCATTATATTATAGTTTAGGATTATATGGTGACTCACTGAATAAATTAAATAAATTAATAATATTTGAATGTAACAATACTAATTACTCTAAAATTAGTGGATGTACATATGATTCAAAGTGTTACTAAGTAAATATGTCATGTTATGTTTTGTTATGATATACTTGTTGCAAATAGCTAATTGACACCTTAGTCGAAAAAAAATTTATACACACACAAACTAATGGTAAATGTAACAAACTTTACAAATTCACCTTTTAAAAGTTTTAAATAAATTTGTTAAAATGTGTAATAACCTCTACAAAACCAACATTTTTCGATATCTATAATATCATAAAAGATTGTAATTATTCTACTTTTTTATTAAAAAAAAAGAGAAAATGAAAAATTAATATAATCCAAGGGACCACAAAAAAATATTTGAAGACCAAAGTGGACTGTAGAGAGAGAAAAAGTAGACCCATTGTTTAGAGAGAGAAAATGAAAGGCGTGAAAAAAAGGAATATCAGTACTGACCCCGCACAGCCACCATCTGCTCCTCCGCCTCCCGACCACACCTCCGGCGCGGCGGCGTTCGGCGGTGACAGCGGCGGAGTTTTGGAAGGGGAGGAGGGGCCCAAGGAACAAGACGACAGCGGCGAAATCGAAGGCACGCTGGAGGATTTCGAAGAGGAAGGGGAAGGGGAGGATTTTTCGGAAGCTGAGAGAGAGTACGAACAGCTGGGGGACGCGAAGATTGGAGAGGAGGAGGGACAGAGGACGAAGCTCGCCGATGGCTACTACGAGATTGAGGCTGTACGCCGGAAGCGCGTTCGGAAGGTATTTTTTGTATTTTTTTTTTTTT